ACTTACTCCCTGAAAATAAACTGGGGAGAAAACTTGGACACACTTTTAAAGGAAGTTGGAGCTGTTGTTGCCAAAATTGTGCACAGGCAAAATGTATTATCTTTGCTGACATGTTTACTGATGGTATTTTCTACCTGTCCAGATTTTTATTTACTTTTGCATATGGTATCCCCTTACATTTTACAGTATTGTTTTTGCACAAGAAAAATCATTCACTAGTTTTGTCTTTAAAGGAGATATGTTCTTTATGATTTCATGTACAGGTCAGTACTTCTAATTGACAAGCTACTGTAATGTGGAGGCTGTGTTGTTTAAGAATTGTAAGTCACAAAAGTTTTTTGTAATGAGAAGAACCTTTTGTATTGGATAAGGACTGGGATGTAGATGGGAAGGGAGAAGTAAGAACAACGGTGGTGATGAGGTTCCTCACCACCATCAATGGCGGTGATGACGTTGTATCCAGAGGGGTCAGCAGAAATCCACCATGGCTGGTAATGCAGGTAAATGCAGAATATTATTATGCCTGTTTTACAAGTGGAAAACTGGAGAAAAAAGAGATTTAGGCATTACTGTGACCATAAGGAATGCTATTTCCTTATCGTGCTCAGTCCCTTGATTATGTTACCATCTTGACCTGAGCTGTTCCTAAAACTTCTAGTGGGCAGCCATGCCAAAGAAAAAGATGGCCGGCAAAACCGGGAGCTTGTCATCCTATTCTGGAAGGCCTTTTCTCCAGGCTGGGGCTGGCTTTGCTCTTCCTCCAGTACTGACTTTACCTCTAAAAATACTAGTACTTTCAAACATGAGTCCTGGAAATTCATTAGGAGATGATCATTCATAAACCAGGCTCTGAAAGCAATGTGATGAGGGTTTGTGTATGGTGCTTTCCGTTTGGTGGGAAATGGGAATATTAGAACAGGGCCACCAAAATTAAAATTTGGCATTTGCTGCTTCTACAGGGATTGCTGGCATTATCTAGTGTACTGGTTTTGGCCGAGATAGAGTTAAATTTCCTCATAGTAACTTGTACAGGGCTATGTTTTGAATTTGTGATAGACGTATTGTTAACACAGGGATGTTTTCATTACTTCTGAGAAGTGCTCACACGGAATTGAAGCCTTTCCTGTTTCTCACCCCACCCACCAGTGAGTAGGCTGGGGGTACACAAGAAGTTGTGAGGGGACAAAGTTAAGACAGCTGACGACCACTGATTGAAGGGACATCTCACCATACAATATTGTGCTCAGCAGTGAAACTGGGGTTGAGAGGCATGGGTGGCAGTTGGCCAGGGCTGCCATTGGAGACAGCCAGGGCACCAGCTGGTGGTGAGCAATTGTTTGACTTTGCATCACTTGTAACCTGTGTTCAGCTTTATTGCTTCTTTTCCTCCTTTTTAAAAAAAATATAATTAAACTGTCTTTATCTCAATTCATGAGTTTTTGCCCAGTTACCCTGTTATTTCTTTCCCCCATTTCACTGGAGGGGAGGTTGGTGAGTAAACAGCTGAGTGATGCTTGGCTGCCTACTGAGGTTTATCAACAGAAAAGTTGTTGATCTATCTACTTTTTCAAGTACACAGAAAATTATTAGGAGCACTACAACATATCAAGAAAAGTAAGTCAATGTGAGGTTAATTTTGTGCATTAATGATCTTTATGAAAGCATATTTACAGTAAACTCCTTACTTCTAAATTAAAAATAATAAAAGTCTAGAAATTATGTGAGATTACTTTGAAGGACCTGGTCCCAAAATTGGTGATTAAAGAAGGATAAGCACAGCACTTGTGGCTTCAAAGGTCAGTCCTGCTGAATTTATGTGACTGATGGATTCCTTTCACCAGAGGTGCAATTTTCCCCTGAAGAAATACTTCTTCAAGACCAATGCTAGCCAGCTGGTATTTATGGGAAAGTCCAAAGGGAATTACAAGTAGGTTGTTAGGTTATCATTTACTCAGTGGTTTCTGCCAATATTGTATCACAGAGATCCCACAGCACTTCTTCTTAGCATGTGATAAATTGTGTACCAGGTGAAGGTGAGAAAGGAGTGAGGGAAGCCACTATGATGACAGGCTGTTGCTTTGCTACTACTGCCATGAACCTGCTATTTCTCTGCCAGCAATCACCAGCACCTTAAGTGTGCCCAGCATTGCTCTCCTTGGCCTGTGATAAGATGCCTGCACATTTGGGAGTCCTTTAAGGAAATGCTGAGTACATGGCTCAAACGGAACAATTTTTTTCCTTCTGCATGCCACTGTGGCAAGAGCAGTACATTTTATGGCTACATTTGCAAGACCCTTATTGTATACCAGCTCTGCATGCAGCCCAAGTGATTTCCAGTACCTGATATAGCATAAAATATCAAGTAGCATGAGAAAGAGGTGCCTCGGCCTGCTCCAGTGGTAAAGTGTGCTGGTTTGATCTCTTCCAGACACGACTGGTGACAGGAGCCTGTCCGTACAGTTGTGGTGTTATAAGAGTTATTTTTGTTGCATCTCTATATTTCATTAATTTTTTGATTAAAATTGGATTATTTTCATTACAGAAAGCTATTCAAATATCTTGTGTATTTAATGTAGCTTCCTTAGGTTTTTTCCCCACAAGAGGAATAAAATGGAAAAAAAAGAAAGTATCCAGTTTAAGAACTTCTACATGGTTGCTTTGCTTTGTCATTATACTGCAAATGTACTTGGAAGAAACTAAAGTCCATCCCTAAATCATGCAAAACTTTACATGAGATGGGTATAAAATAAAATATTTGGTGGGTTCTGAAATAGATTTTTATGTTGTGTTTTGATTGATGGAAAAATCATGAACTTTCTGCTGTACTCTTTCAAGACTGCAAGCCAGTTTAATGCTAATGATTCAGCTGTTATCCAGCTAAATAAAATAGACTGATGAGGTTAAGTAAGGCCATAGTCAACGTCAGTTAACACAGTGTTGAATGTGTTGCCTGGTTAGTATTACAAAGGAAAGAGGAAAAGCAATGTCAGGCACCTTCATTTAATAAAACCTACCAAAGTGTCCCACACCCAAACAAACAAAAAATTTATGCAGAAAACCCAAATAAAATGAAGTTCTTGAACTCTAAGAAAATCTCTGTTAATTCACTAATGTTTTTAATGTCTCCTCTGAACTCATTATTTATATATCTTTGCCTTTGCTTCCCTAATTTGGTCAATCACATTCTTTAAGATGACACTCCAAGTCTGCCTGTTAATGTTTGGATTCCTGGGACTACTGTGGCTTTGAAAGTCCTTATTACTGCATCTTTGGCTTCTCTTCAATGAGCATATGTTGACCATGGATGTATGCTGTAAATTCACCATTTCCATCTTCACAAGTTCTTTCTGCTGACACCTTTTTGTGGTTCTACTTTGAAAGGGAAAGGAGCCATTTCAAGCTTTTGTTGGCTTTAGTTCATAGAGGTTCTTTTTTGCTGCTCCCATTTGAGTCATAACAAGGAATGTGCCATGCCATCAGGATCAAAACTAGTTACCTGTTGCATTCAGTGGAGGTGCAATCAGATCAGAGTAGCAGCTGGAAAAGTGATGGAGATACTACCTTGGCCTGGAAATAAATCTCAGATTCTGTAATTGATACTCTGGTGTTGTTTTCTGAGATATACTGTGACTACATACATTACCTGAGCCTACCTGTGTGATCTTGGTGGGGCTTTAGTTTCATTATCATGAAGTGCTACGAAGCAGAGGAGTTTAGACACTGTTTCTGCAACAGCTGCAGGCTACAGTACGAGAGCTGTTTGGGCAAGGCTGGACATAGGAGGACTGGAAGTTGCCAGAATCACAGCCCCCGGCATTGCTGCAGTTGCCTTGGCACCCCAGGGAGGGCAAAGAAATTGAGGAGTGATGGCAAAGGTCAGCAGACTCTCAGAATCAGAAAAGCCTGGGCAAAAGCTCAGCCCTTCATTCATTGCAGAACAACCAGAGTGACAATGCAGCCTTTTTCTGTGGAGGATCTGTGGCCCTGTCCACTGTCCATTGTGTTGATTTCAATGAAGCTTAAATGCGTACTCAGAATTAAGCACTTCTTTGCCTGGTGCCTTCAGGAGAGAGAGTTTCCTCAACTGGGGCCAAACATGTACTTTGTACAGGGCATCTTCTGACCCAAAAGGTCAATTAAAGCTTCTGAGGGACTCTGAAGGGATATTTTTAATTGTTCAAAGCCTTGTTTAGGTTTTCAGGCTCTGCAAAATAATTTGAATGTGTGTTTGTATAAATGCATAAGGGAGAAGTTGGCAAAGGAGGAAGCTTGCTATTTGTTGTGTTTCAGGTCTTGCAACTATGGAGTCAGATTGAGTTTTGCTATTGATTTCAGTGAGTGCAGGGGCAACTTGTCTAGCTGTTTAGAATTAATAAATTTTTTTCCCACATGGAGGTAATAGTACCTACTACAAATTAGAGACATTTTTGCTGATGTGATAAATAATTTTGAAGTTCTTGTATGTTTGCTTAATGGTTATAAACTTAAAGTAGAGGATAATTTCCATCCTTCTAATGGAAATCCCAGTACAGGGAATGAGGCACAAGTGGGACCCACTTAAATGCTGGATGACAGAAGTATTCCCAAGTCTGGCAGGTTTGGTATTACAATCTTCAGGTTAGGTGTATTCCACAGCAGTCTCTGTGTTGGTATAGCAGTTACTGCATGAGGGTAGGAATCATCTAGTTATGGGCTACTGCCACAAAAACCCACATCTTTGGTGTTACTTCATCTGAGCTTAAGCTGTGTTTTGCTTGTTTATTTTTGTTAACTGTTCTTTTAATGTGATCTGATGCAAAATTGTTTTCAAAACATAAAAGGTGAAGGAGCAGCACTGTATCTCCTCCATTTGCTGTTTGGCAAGGCAGGAGCAGGTACTGCAGCAGGAAAAGACACCCCATCCCAGCAGGTTTCTAGGCTGATGCTGTTCAAGTCTGTGTGTTAAACCTTAACTGTGTGCAGACTGAAAATTCAGATGTGTTTCCTCTCCTTTGTTGCAGGAGAAAGCGTTTTCTGCTGCAGGTCTGAGAAAGGGCACGCTGGCATGGAGAAAGAGGTAAGTGAAGAAAAACCATGCTTTAAAAGAAAAATTAAAGCGGTTATTCCTAGCATTGCTATTTCATAATATTATTTGTAGTGTGATGGGAGGGAAGTCAGCAGACGCGTAGGCTCCTTTTTATCATTGACAAGTCAAGGGGATGATTAACGAGAGTACCAGACAATGTAATGGAAGGAGAAGGCCCACAGAAGTTAAACAAAAGTGCCTTCAGAATTTAGAGAATTCCCATGATCCATAGTAGAACCTCATTGTGCTTGTCTACTGTTTCTATTTTTGATTAGATTTATAAACACAGCACCACATATTTTCATGTGGCTCATAGCCCCAGGGCAGACTGAGATTGACTGCACTGAAACTGTGAGGCTTGTGAATTTCGGGCAAGGGATGGAGTGAAATAAGTAGTGTAATTGTTTTTGTGGACTGACCGTGGGACCTCCTCTGTTCTGAATTACACATGGTTCAACCCTTTGACCTAACCAACCTCGGCAATGCCTGCTAGATCTCCTAAAGCTGTGCTGAAAGGTCCTATCAGTGACATGTTGGAACATTATCTGTCATGTGAGATGTGTGCCAACAACCATATTAAACTACATTAATTACTAGTGAGGCCATGTTTGTGACAATCTCAACTTCATTTAACCCATCATCATGTTAGTTATTGTTTAAACAGGAAGTACAAATGGGGACAATTTATGAAATCTAGATGCATCACCAAAGTTTTCTCTAATAAAGTATGTGTTTTACTTTGGCTTAGTTCCTTTTTTTTTTTTTTAACCCCCAGTATTTTTGTTCTTGTCATTAACTCTGTAGCTTGAGGGTTTTTTGGGGGACTTTTCTATTTTAAGAGCAAACAAGAAAAAGACTACTTCTTAGTAACTAAACTAATATGCTAGTTAAATGCCTTTTCCCTTTCAATGCAATTGCAAATGATACCACAGTTGACTGAAGGTGCCATGCTTGTTTTCTAGCAAGAAGGAAACATGTTAAGGTAGTTTATGTAAGGCTGAAAGATCACATGTGGGTTATTTGCTTGATGTACTCCTTCACTGCTTTACACTCTAGCTAGCGCAACTCTGCACAGCCATGCTCACATACCTCTGGATCAGGAGGGAAGCATGCATTTCTTTTGAATCCTTGGAGAACAGTTTTCTCATAGGCCTGACCCTGCAGGTAGCAAAGTGTCCAGGGAGTCCTCGAGTGGCAACCCAGTAGGTAGAAATTTGGAAGGATTCTCTGCACATGGTCATTTTCTGAAACAATTCTAAATTTTATAGAGGAAGAAGCAAAAGCTCTCCAGCATGTTCCTGCGTGGGCAGTGTATGGGTTCAATTGCACCTAGCTGTGCCCAGTATTATATTAAATTAGACACCGGTGTTTACATCTTCCACCTACGCACTGAGCTCTTTTTGACAAGGATTTTGCTTTAGCCTCATTTTCTAGATACAACTGGCTTAAATGAAGAGGGCATTTATTTATTTATTGCTGCAGAGTCAGAAAAAAAATATGTTTGACCCTACTAAATGTCGTTCTCATTATCAGTGAAGAGTTTGCTCAATGCAAAATCTAACATGGAGTGCTTAAAGCAGACAGGTGCAAATTACAAGCTGTTTCTCTTTAGCTGCCATCCCTTAAATAGAAAAATTAATAGGCTAGGAGAAGGGAAAAGGTTCCAGCTCCAACTGCATAAAGGAAAGCCTTAACAGGAACTTAGCAGCTGGTTGCAAACATTAAATGCTGTAAATACCAACTAGAGCATTTGTGTGTGTATGCTTACAGAGGAATGTGCTTTTAGTAAGGCTCCATTCCTTTCTATGCTACAGGATCATTCTTTGAAAACTGTGCTTTGCTTTATGTTGAAAGACTAATGCTCTTGCTGAGGTAAATGAGAGCAGAAGCCAACATACCTGTTCCTGTTTACCATCATTACACTCCTCAGAGCATTTCAGACATTATTAGGTTCTTGGAGCTGTACCAGATTGACAATAATTCCAGCTACTTCTCTTTTGGCTGTATACAAACAAGGCCCCAAAGGAAAAAGAAAAAAAGACCAAAGGAAAAAAAAAACCAACAAAACAACCTACCACCAAAACAACCAAACCACAAACAAAACCATGGATGAATCTGCTGAGCTAGTTTTCTGATGTTAGAAACAGTTGTTCATATTAGGAACACCTAATTTAATTTCATGAAAGAGACATAACATGCCAGTATGTGTATGAATCTAAGGTATGCATTTCCTAAAAGGAACTAAAACTCTGTCATTCCAAAGTTGCTCTTCTTTTTGACTTCCAGCTTGCGTGGGGACTGCTGTCTGGAAGCAGTAACTTTAACTTTAACTCTAAGGCTGCTGATGAGGTCTGTCTGTGTGATCTTCGTAAGTAGATAAGGGTAGGGAGACAGCTCAGAGCAGAGCTTGTTTACAGCAGGACAGAAGAAAACAGCTAGACATAAATGAGGGTTGACGGTTTCATGAAGCACAATTGGTTGATCACAGATTCAATATGACTGCCCTGAACTGAGCGATGATCCGTACAGTATGCAAAATTCACTTTCTTGCTGGTCTGTGCCCACCAGCCTTCCAGCAGCTTTCCCAGAGCCCCTCAGCCACGGCTTTGAGTGGAACCAGAGCTGAACGCAGCATTGTTGTACCCAATTCCTTTTGACAACAATCACATTCTTTTAAAAACTTCATAGGTTTTAGTTGTCACTGGTTATAAATGAGGTTTTTTTCCCTTGCTGCTTCTGCTGCTGCTGCAGCACTCACTGCTCTCCTGCAGACCCAAATGCGCTGTGTTCTGGTACTCCTGGTTTTCCTTTGTTTCAAATAGTATCGCAAAACAGGTAGTGCATTTTCATGATGATGGCATGCAAAAAGGCATTTAAAGGTTTAGGTCACTTTTTGAATGACATGGTGATCAGTTTGTTCTGTGCTCAAACACTTCTAACTCCCCTTGTCTTTGCTGTAATGAAGCACACTCAAGGTAAAAAAGCATTAAAAAATAAAGAAGTGTAAAGGCAAGACTTTTTGGTTTTCAACAACTGTAGTGGAGCTTTGAGATAGGATCAGCAGCAACATCACCCTTTAAGCTTGACTTTGCAAGCAAAGGACATCCCCCTTGTACGTGCTGGTTGCAGATGGGCAAATCTGACGTGTATTGTTTGTGGTTCCAAGTTGGACCACCTCCACTGCAGGTGTAAACCAGCACAGCCTTTGTATCACTTGAGGTTCTGGCCTCAAGTTGTAGAATCCTGCTTTTTTTTTTTTTAATAAAAAAGCTTTTTTAATGTTCATTTTTCTGATAATTTTTAAATGACTAGAATGGTGGCTTTCTGTACAAATGTGCATTCATGTACATTTACCCAGGTACGCTCACACAACTGGACTTTGCCTGTAAATATGGTAAGTGGTCACTGAATGAGTTTTGTTTAGTTTGCTGTTGGAAACTTAACTTTTGCAGGTACATATGAACTGATTAAAGCACAATTGCTTTAGACATAAATTTGCACAAATACATAAATTAACTAGTAATGACTAATGATAAAATGAATATAAAATGCCACTGGATAATTTCCTGCCTATTCTCTGATGAGAAGGCAAAATATCATAAGGGGAGGGAGAATGAGAAGGAAAACCTAAAATGAAGAAGGGTTGGAAAGATTGCAATTTACACTACTTAAAAGTACTCGTGTAAAAGAGAGAAGGATGAGGAAATTGGATGGGGAGAGGTAGTAAAAGAAAATATCTTCTAACTTCCTCTGAAGCACAAAGTGACAAGAACATGTGTTGATTACACAAAGGGCACCACCAAAATAATCTGTTACTCAGTTATACTGAGAAGTAATCCTGAAAGAATTCCTCTCTGCTGTTAAAAATCAGGTATTGCTCTCATTCTAAAAATACGAACTCATGAAAAGTACCTTTGGAAACCTGATCATGTTAAGGGACAAGAACATCATTTCTTTGTAAGTAGGAGTCACAAGCCTGTTAAGTCACAGCTATGTAAAAATCCTAATCTGTGTTTGAGTCAATGAAGTGCCAAAGGATGTAGCCTACTGTGTCCCTGAGTAAAACAAAATTTGTAGATAACTATACTGAATGTTTAAACCTTAGTAAACAAACAAACAAGACACACAAAACTCCACTCCAAAAAGTCAAAACCCACTATACATCTTTATTAGAGAGAGAGGGAGAAGGAATACTTTTTTCTTCTTGCTGTGAA